ATGGATCAGAGAAGGTAGGGTTCCTCTACAAACCATTCGAGCTAAAATTGATTATTGTGCCTACGCAGTTCGAACTATCTATGGGGTATTAGGCATCAAAATTTGGATATTTGTAGACGAGGAATAATAAGAACTTACTTTACTTGTATTTAGTTCTATCTGGTGATAAAACAAAAAAGGCAAACTCTTTCATTCCTTTTCTGTTAAATAAAAAAAAAATGAACAATTCTATAAGGTTGAATAAAAATTCGATTAATCGTTTGATATAATTGCTATGCTTAGTGTGTGACTCGTTGGTTTTTTTAGGATTATAGGATTCAACAAAATCGACCGGCCCGTAGTACGAACTGATAACTATAGAACTAATAATCAACTCATCGCTTCGCATTATCTGGATATAAGGAACCAGTCAAGATATGATATATGAGTCATATCATTGTAGCAACTGAAATCTTTTTTGCATAAACACAAAAGAAAAACCAATCTGATTATGAGTTGTAAAGCAATAAAAGTATACAGATAAATGGAAGGGTGAGAGAAAGATAGGAAAAGAAATATCAATGATATATAATTCCAATATGTAAGGTCTATGAGTCATCTCATATAAAGGGAATGTAATAAAGCATCAATACTGATTGATCCATAATTAGACAAATCGGTGCATAGAAGAAAAAATCAAGAGCCCTGAGCCAATAAAGACTGAGAAGGTTGACTCAAGAAAAAATTTCATTCATTAATAAATTTCATTAAGGGCTCCGTTGTAGAATTCAGACCTAACCATTAATCGAGAAGTGGTGGGGACGACAGAACCTGTGAATGCATAAGATTCTATTGAAAACGAATCCTAATGATTCATTGGGTAGGATGGCGGAACGAACCAGAAACCTATTCATTTATTCTGAGAGGTCATGTCATAGACTAATCTTACAATTGAATGTTGAAAGAGTAAATATTCGCCCGCGAATTTTTTTTTATTTCTAAATTTTAGTCGATTCGATATGATAATACAAAGGAAAAAGAAAATAAAGATTCATTATAACGATAACGTTATATAAAAACGACATTATCTATAAATAGAAGACATGTTTAATTATATATTAAAACACAATAAATTTAAAATTTATAATAGATATAGATTAGATAAAATTTAAAAGAATACCACGATTCCGTATATTATTCACCGTGTATATTATTTTTTAATTGTTTAATTCGCGAGGAGCTGGATGAGAAGAAACTCTCATGTCCAGTTCTGTAGTAGAGATGGATGGAATTGATAAACAACCATCAACTATAACCCCAAAAGAACCAGATTCCGTAAACAACATAGAGGAAGAATGAAAGGAATATCTTATCGAGGCAATCGTATTTGCTTCGGTAGATATGCTCTTCAAGCGCTTGAACCCGCTTGGATCACATCTAGACAAATAGAAGCAGGGCGGCGAGCAATGACACGAAACGCACGCCGCGGTGGAAAAATATGGGTACGCATATTTCCAGACAAACCCGTTACAGTAAGACCTACAGAAACACGTATGGGTTCGGGGAAAGGATCTCCCGAATATTGGGTAGCTGTTGTTAAACCCGGTAGAATACTTTATGAAATGAGCGGAGTAGCAGAAAATATAGCCAGAAGGGCAATTTCAATAGCGGCATCCAAAATGCCTATACGAACTCAATTCATTCTTTCGGGATAGGGATGTAGAAACAAAGGAAAGGGGTCTTTTGTATGAAAAAAAAAATTGCAGGTTTTTTGTTTTGAACAAATAATATTTCTTTTTTTTATTTAGACCCTTGCATTGAAAACAAAAAAAAATCGATAAAAAAACGATATGATTCAACCTCAAACCCATTTAAATGTAGCGGATAACAGCGGAGCCCGAGAATTGATGTGTATTCGAATCATAGGAGCTAGTAATCGACGATATGCTCATATTGGTGACGTTATTGTTGCTGTAATCAAGGAAGCCGTACCAAATACACCTCTAGAAAGATCAGAAGTAATCCGAGCTGTAATTGTACGTACTTGTAAAGAACTCAAACGCGACAACGGTATGATAATACGATATGATGACAATGCTGCAGTTGTTATTGATCAAGAAGGAAATCCTAAAGGAACCCGAATTTTTGGCGCGATCGCCCGGGAATTAAGACAGTTAAATTTCACTAAAATAGTTTCATTAGCACCCGAAGTATTATAAGGGAAGGCCGTAATATAGTTATAGTATTTGGTATTTGAATGAAACCGATTAATTAGTAGATTGTTTATATATCACGTATATACCTTTAATAATTCAGAAATAAAGATAAATAAAAAAAGAAAAAGAGCATGTTGATTATATCAAAATTTGGGGGCAACAAAAATCTTAGTTTATCATGAGTAAAGACACTATTGCTGACATAATAACCGCTATACGAAATGCTGACATGAATAAAAAAAGAACAGTTCGAATACCATCTACTAACATCACTGAAAATATTGTTAAAATCCTTTTACAAGAAGGTTTTATTGAAAACGTGAGAAAACATCAGGAAAGCAATAAATATTTTTTGGTTTTAACACTACGACATAGAAGAAATAGAAAAGGATCGTATAGAACTGTTTTAAATTTAAAACGGATCAGTCGACCCGGTTTACGAATATATTCTAACTATCAAAAAATTCCTAGAATTTTAGGCGGAATGGGGATTGTAATTCTTTCTACTTCTCGAGGTATAATGACAGACCGAAGGGCTCGAATAGAAGGAATCGGCGGAGAAATTTTGTGTTATATATGGTAATCTTTCTGATAGACGAATTATACGAAGAACTTTCATATTTGTGAAAAAAGAGAAAGGACAACTTTATAATATTACCCCTCTTACATTAGTTGATACTTCAAAGCGGTTTTACCTGGAATGAAACAAAAAAAGATTCATGAGGGTTTAATTACTGAACAACTTACCAATGGTATGTATCTTCCGGGTTCGTTTAGATTTGAGATAATGAAAATATGATTCTGGTTTTTGTTTCGGAAAGGATTCGACGTTGTTTTATACGTATACTACCAAGAAATAGAATAAAAATTGAGGTAAGTCCTTATTTCAACCAAAGGACGTATAGTTTATAGACTCCAAAGCAAAGACTCGAATGATTCGGTGGTTTTTTCAATTTCAACATTCTTTCGTGGGGATACAATTCGAAGTTAAAAATTTCAAGAAACTTATTTTCTTCCAATAAATAGTAAGAAAAGGAATGACAAATATGAAAATAAGGGCCTCTGTTCGTAAAATTTGTGAAAAATGTCGATTGATCCGTAGGCGGGGACGAATTATAGTAATTTGTTCCAACCCGAGACATAAACAAAGACAAGGCTAATCTTTCTAAAGCAAAAAAGACTCTCGAAATCAAAAGTAACCGATGTACAAATAAATAAGTAAAAAAAAATAAGGATACGTTTTGACATGAAATGGATATATCCATATATCTCTGACTTATATTTATGAGATGATAAAATATGGCAAAACCTATACCAAAAATTGGTTCACGTAGAAATAGACGTATTGGTTCACGTAAGAATGCGCGTAGAGTACCAAAGGGAGTTATTCATGTTCAAGCAAGTTTCAATAATACGATTGTGACTGTTACAGATGTGCGGGGTCGAGTAATTTCTTGGTCCTCCGCCGGGGCTTGTGGATTCAAGGGTACAAGAAGAGGTACACCATTTGCCGCTCAAACCGCAGCAGGAAATGCTATTAGGACAGTAGTGGATCAAGGTATGCAACGAGCAGAAGTCATGATAAAAGGCCCGGGTCTCGGAAGAGATGCGGCATTAAGAGCTATTCGTAGAAGTGGTATACTATTAAGTTTCATACGCGATGTAACCCCTATGCCACATAATGGCTGTAGGCCCCCTAAAAAAAGGCGTGTGTAAAAATAAACATTGAAGAGATTTCAAGAGAAATAAATAATTCAATGATTTGATCAAATAATATACTATGGTTCGAGAGAAAGTAACAGTATCTACTCGGACACTACAGTGGAAGTGTGTTGAATCAAGAGCAGACAGTAAGCGTCTTTATTATGGACGCTTTATTCTGGCCCCACTTATGAAAGGTCAAGCAGATACAATAGGAATTGCGATGCGAAGAGCTTTGCTCGGAGAAATAGAAGGAACATGTATCACACGCGCAAAATCTGAGAAAATACCACATGAATATTCTACCATAATAGGTATTCAAGAATCCGTACATGAAATTTTAATGAATTTGAAAGAAATTGTATTGAGAAGTAATCTATATGGAACTAGTAACGCGTCTATTTGTATCAAGGGTCCTGGATATGTAACTGCTCAAGACATTATCTTACCACCTTCTGTGGAAATCGTTGATAATACACAGCATATAGCTAACCTAACGGAACCAATTAATTTGTGTATTGAATTACAAATCGAGAGGAATCGCGGATATCGTATAAAAACGCCAAATAACTTTCAAGACGGAAGTTATCCTATAGATGCTGTATTCATGCCTGTTCGAAATGCGAATCATAGCATTCATTCTTATGTGAATGGGAATGAAAAACAGGAGATACTTTTTCTCGAAATATGGACAAATGGAAGTTTAACTCCTAAAGAAGCACTTCATGACGCCTCCCGGAATTTGATTGATTTATTTATTCCTTTTTTACATGCAGAAGAAGAAAACTTACAGTTAGAAAACAATCAACACAAAGTTACTTTGCCCCTTTTTACTTTTCATGGTAGATTGGCTAAACAAAGGAAAAATAAAAAAGAAATCGCATTGCAATATATTTTTATTGACCAATCAGAATTGTTCCCCAGGGTCTATAATTGCCTCAAAAGGTCCAATATACATACATTATTGGATCTTTTGAATAACAGTCAAGAAGATCTTATGAAAATTAAACATTTTCGCATAGAAGATGTAAAACATATATTGAACATTCTAGAAATATAAATAGAAATATAAAAGCATTTCGAATAAATTTTAATGGGTTATTTAATTTTTTTTTCTAAAGTTTTTGTATAAAAAGATAAAAATGAGTTTTGAATCTTTAGCACAATTAATATATTCGGAATAGGTCCAAAATTAAATTGAATAGATGTATCTAGGGAAAATTCACTTTGAAGCGACTATTCCCTAGATACACACGTGGTAATATATTTTTTTTTATTTCACAATTGAATCAATTTAAAAAAGACCTAAAGTTAAGGACTTATCAATAGGTAGTGTTGCTCCAATACCCAACCAAAGGGCTACTGCAGTACCAATCAAAAAGACGGTTGTCGCTACGGGACGACGAAATGGATTTTGGAATTTATTAACATTCTCCAAAAAGGGTACTGTTAATAATCCCGCAGGTACTGAAACCATTAAAAGAACACCCAATAACTTATTTGGCACTGTACGAAGTATTTGAAATACGGGAAAGAAATACCACTCAGGCAATATTTCCAAAGGAGTTGCAAACGGATCCGCGGGTTCACCAATCATCGATGGTTCTAGAACCGCTAAGCCTACGTTACATGCAATAGTGCCTAAAATTACTACTGGAAAAATATATAAAAGATCGTTTGGCCATGCGGGCTCTCCGTAATAATTATGACCCATCCCTTTAGCCAATTTAGCTCTTAACACAGGATCGTTCAAGTCAGGTTTTTTTGTTATTAGGATAGGTGAATTATTTATATCCATCCCCCGAAAGAACCGGACATGATAATTTTTCATCATCCAGCTCGAGCACGAATCAAACGAATCTAATGGATCCATATAAAAAATAAAATCGCTATGTTATCCATATCCACTCATAATCCACACATATATGAATGATTCGATGTAAGAAAAAGGATTCCCTTTTTCGAAGTTGCAACAACTACCCATTGCAAGGAATTAAGTTCTTACAGATAAATGCTCAATACCCAAGTAGGCTTACAAAATTGATCATGATCAAATGCTTTATGGGTCGTCTTATATCTTGCAATTGGCCTTTATCCCCTAAAATATCGAGACTTTTTACATACAAAGCAAAGGATTTACTTGTTACTAATATAGTCTAGCCTCTGTTCTTCTTTAGATCCCTTGTTTCACTCCGATAGTATCATAAATCGAGTCAATGCAGAGGAAATGAATACATTTCTATACTATTTAGTAAGTGAAATATATAAAACATAATCCGGATTATGCCAATAACTTATTCTACTGGATCGGATCTTACGGAGCCTGTTCATATCATACACGACATGATCGGGTCTGATCATAGAAAAGATTCTCTTCAAACGAACCGGCCTATCTTCTGTATGGGGCTTACGCGGTGGTTGGAACAAAGACACATTTTTTGTTGTGAATTAAAATGTGGCAGATAGATAAGGGCATACATCTGCAAGGCCCGATCAATAGTTCAAGTCACACACTCCCATAATCCATTTTATCTTCGGAAAATTCGCTTCAACTATGAGTGTCAAAAAAATAATACATTTTTGTAGAGTTGAAGAGAAATATCCCAATACATGTCTTATTCTTTTCAATAATCCATATTTGTAGCAATGAAATACTATTGTTCCTACCCCAAGTGATAAATGATTGATTACAGATGGTATATATTCTTTATAAAGGACCAGAAATACCTTGCTTACGTATCATTGGGAAGTGCATTAACATAAATACGGCAGTAAGAAGAGGTAATACAAAAGTGTGTAAACTATAAAAACGAGTCAAAGTGGATTGTCCCACACTAGCACTTCCGCGTAATAACTCTACCAGGGGCGAGCCTATTACAGGAATAGCGTCTGGTACGCCTGTTACAATTTTTACTGCCCAATAACCAATTTGGTCCCGAGGTAAGGAATAACCAGTTACACCAAAAGATGCGGTCAATACACCCAAAACCACACCTGTAACCCAAGTCAATTCGCGAGGTTTTTTAAAGCCACCGGTTAGATACACACGAAATACGTGCAGGATCATCATTAGGACCATCATACTTGCCGACCATCGATGAACCGATCGGATTAACCAACCAAAATTAGCTTCAGTCATTATATATTGAACAGAAGCAAAAGCCTCTGTAACGGTCGGACGATAATAAAAAGTCATAGCAAACCCTGTAGCTACTTGTACTAAAAAACAAGTAAGCGTAATTCCTCCTAGACAATAAAATATGTTGACGTGAGGAGGAACATATTTACTAGTTATATCATCGGCAATTGCCTGAATCTCAAGACGTTCTTCGAACCAATCATAGATTTTATTGAGATAGGTAAATCACGGAGACTCCCCCCCGGAGAACCGTATATGAAAATTTCATCTCATACGGCTCAAACAGAAACACACAAATACTAGTTCTAACGGATGTGTGTAATAGAAAGTTTTAAATTTCTTAATTCTATGATTCATTTTTTCTGAAGATACGAAAGAATAAAAATCCGAAAACCCCTCTTTGTGGTTATAATGCCAAAAAATCAAGTCGGCTCATTCGTCTATATATTGATCGTTATAGGCCTCTTGAATCTTCTATTTACCTATTTTATTTGTTGTTATTTATGTGTAGTGCGGCTTTACTGCTGTTTTCTTTATTATTGATAGGAATTATCTTGTTAAGACCCTATTAATTGATTAAAACCTCAGATTCATACTAGAACCACGATGATTCAATAAAACCCTTTCAAACTAAGTCCCAAAATTCCCTGAGTAAGAACCGTTGGATCATCACTTATTCAATGAATAGATATAATGACTAAAAATCCAAAGAAACCTTAGTTTGAAAAAAAAAAAAAAAATTTCGAAGTCCGGCCACGAGGTCTAACTATTAAGTATGAATCATAGTTCTAATACTTTGTAATCTATTTCATATATATATTCCGTGCTCCAGATACTAGAATGAATATCCGACGAAGTAAAACCATCTCTATCAAGATGACAGACCCATTCTCTGTACTATCCATAGGATCAATTATACCAAGTCACACACTCATATTCCGGAAATACAGAAACAAAGAAATTCCACGGTCGAACTACCAAAATAGAATGGGATAAAAATCATAAACCTAAACGCTTCGTTTTGTATTGAAAAAGCCAGTTAATGGTTCTTGTTAATCTAATTCATTGAAATTCCATCCAGTAAAATGGAAGAATTATAAATCTCCAAAATAATCGATAGGAATATCGCAAATAGAGCCATTGCGAGACCCATCAAAGGAGTAGTTCCCCACCCAGGAGCTACTTTACCATATTCTGAATTCAATGGTTTCAATAAACTCCCTGCATTAGTTCGTTTGGGGCGGCCAGATCTAGAACTACCCTCAACGGTTTGTGTAGCCATAATATTTTATATTCAGTAAGATCTGTTGACTTTGTATACCATTCCGTTGTAAATAAATGATCTTATCATAGATCCATTGTGGTCTTAAAACTATATAATGTCTTAAAACTATATAATAATGGAAACAGCAACCCTAGTTGCCATCTTTTTATCCGGTTTACTTGTAAGTTTTACTGGGTACGCCTTATATACTGCTTTTGGGCAACCCTCTCAACAACTAAGAGATCCATTCGAGGAACACGGGGACTAGTTGAAGTAATGATCCTCCCAATATTGGGAGGATCATTACTTTCAATTGAGATAATGAAAAATCATTTCACCTTTTTAGTTGGAACTTTAGGCGGTTCTCGAAAAAAGATAGCGAAAAAAATTATTCCTAGAGTTGAGACTAAAAGGAATGTATAAACCAATGCTTCCATAGATTTGATCGTGGTTTACAATTATAGCTTCCATACCTGTTTATTGGGGATCGTCTCCCGGATAAAAAAAGAACAAGAGTCAAAAGTCAAAGAAAAGGCAGTGATTCAAATCAAGATTTATCCGGTACCCTATATCAAATCACAAAATAAAAATGAAAAGTAACAAGTAACAAAGCAATATTGTATCAAACTACTTGTCTTCTTGTAGTTGGATCTCCGAGTTTTTGGAATGCTCCAAATTCCACTTGAGCATCTAAATCTGGATCAATACCAGCAAAAACATCTCTAAACAAGGTTCTAGCGCCATGCCAAATGTGTCCGAAGAAGAAGAGCAAAGCAAACGAAGCATGCCCAAAAGTAAACCAACCCCTTGGACTGCTACGAAAAACACCATCGGATTTCAAAGTAGCACGATCTAATTCAAAAATTTCACCCAATTGAGCGCGTCTAGCATATTTTTTCACAGTAGCGGGATCACTATAACTGACTCCGTTGAGTTCGCCGCCATAGAACTCGACAGTTACACCTACTTGTTCGACACTATATTTTGATTCTGCCCTTCTAAAAGGAACATCGGCTCTAACAATTCCGTCTCCGTCTACCAAAACAACCGGAAATGTTTCAAAAAAAGTAGGCATACGACGTACAAAAAGTTCGCGCCCCTCTTTATCTCTAAAGATAGGATGTCCTAACCACCCAACAGCTATTCCATCCCCGTTGTCCATTGAGCCCGCTCTGAATAACCCCCCCTTTGCCGGATTATTGCCGATGTAATCATAAAAAGCCAGTTTTTCAGGAATTTTAGACCAAGCTTCAGATAAACTTTGATTTTCAGCTAACCCAGCACCAATTCTGCGATATATTTCTTGTTGGAAGTATCCTTGATCCCATTGATAACGAGTGGGACCAAATAATTCAATCGGGGTAGTTGCTGAACCATACCACATAGTTCCGGCAACTACAAAAGCTGCAAAAAAGACAGCAGCAATACTACTGGAAAGGACAGTTTCAATATTTCCCATACGTAATCCTTTGTATAGGCGTTGAGGTGGACGGACACTAAGATGGAATAGACCCGCCAATATGCCCAATGTCCCTGCTGCAATATGATGAGAGGCTATTCCTCCCGGAACAAAAGGATCAAAACCCTCCACACCCCACGCCGGATTTACGGATTGTACCCTTCCCGTTAGTCCATAAGGATCGGACACCCATATTCCAGGACCATACAACCCTGTTACATGAAATGCACCAAAACCAAAGC